AATACGTGAAATATTAAGCATAGAATCGAAAAATAACGCAAAAAAAAAATTGGTAAAGCAGATTTATGTATACAACACTTGCTTCGAAAAAAAGAAACATCTTATCAAAAAATTGTTTATTTTATTTGAAATTTCACAACTATAATTAGAGAACAGAATAAGTTATATAACACTTCATACAGTATTTTATTGTGATTCTAACTGCAATCATAATGATAATAATATTTACAAGTATCACACCTTACAAGATTCCTAGATCCAGTCCGACTATATAAATCATCTCGCTGTTTATGCCCAAGTTTTCTACATCTTTCCACCTCTGCAGGAGTTTTACTCCATCCATTTAGCCAATCAAAATATTTATAACCCATTGCTTTGACTTCTTCTTCTGCTTTATCTCCCTTTGCCCAAATGAGCTCACTATCCAGAAGTCTTCTATCATATGCGCTTAGTGCTGTTGATGGCACTTTATTGAGATTAAAGGATTCAAGATCAAGGTCTGACCTGAACGCCTTACATCTATAACACTTGACACGCCATACAAAATTTGGATTGTAACCGCATTTATTACACTTCCATTGACTTATTGAGTTAGAACTGTTCGCTTCACCGTGCATGTGTTGAGGATGTGTTTTTACTTGCTTCCCCCTAGATTCGTTAACGAAGCCTTTAGTAGATAACTTGGAACCCTGGCGCATCTTGTTTGTATTCACAGAAGAATAAATCGCCTTAGCTGTTTCGAAGCCGAAGGTTTCCCAATTTTTGTCGAACTGGATTAAATCTTTCCAGTCATCTTTATCAAAACTTTCATGGTTGCGAATGACATGAGAGAATAGAACGCGGAAACTGCCCTCATCGAAATTTATTTCAAGTTGTTGTAAGAGTCGTTGAATCTTGGCGACTTGTGCCATAATTTTGTGTGAGAAGGGTAAATGGAGTTAAAGAGTGATTGGTTAGATAAAGTTTTTTGTAATTATGACGATATCATGATAACGTAAGCTGAAATTTTTTGTCTGACATTTTGGTCGTATTCTATCCCACAGCCTCTTGGTGAAAAAAACAAAAAAAATAATCTAGGCACAGCCCCAGTTCTTGTAACAATTTTTGTAAACATTTATAATCGGAACTCAAATAAAATTTGAACCAACGATCAAATTTCTTTATATTGAAATCTAAATTCCACTCAGTATATATTACAGAAAAAATGTTAGATAATCTAGACACGAGTAAAAATAACTTGCCAATACACCTATTGTCTCTAAACCGTGAATTGTGGCTGAACGCTTATATACATGATTATCTTAGTACCAATGGGATTATACGTAATGTCAATTGTTCCATAATACCTAAATATAGTAAAAGCAACCGAAATGATTCAAACAATATCTGCCAAACTGTCATTCCATGGCTTTACCGACTGGATGGATCAATTGTGAGAAATGCTATGAATTGATATTATGAATTAGCTATATCACAAACTAAGGGTGCGGATTAAATAAATATAAATAAAATATAAGTTTTGCACATCTGAATTCAGTTGTTTCACAAACCTCCTCACTCTTCCATTCCGCCTCAGCACAGCATGCATCTTAATAATTTCATTGCTGAGAGTTAGAATGGCTTTTCCCAATTCTTTTATAATTTGGTTATCCGGAGCTGGAATTGGTATTGGAGATACATTTTTTCGCGTAAATGCAAATATAAATGCGAGAACAATATATCCCCTGAGATAAACCCCATTGTCAAGATTACCTCAATTATATAATTTACGGATCGCAATTACAGCAATGAAGAATGCCAACAAAAAAATATCGGACATTTCGTTCTGGAATAATTGTTTGATTTATTATTATGTAGCACGTGGAAAAAATTGATATATTGTACGTTCGATTTTATTTTGATTACTTGACTGATTATATATTGTGCAATCGATTTTTTGATCGCTTTGATAATGATTTTATTTTCTTACC